GAGCAATGTACGAATCATTGGACTCGTCCGGTTTCTGCTGCACCTGAAACATTGCCTGCTCAAAGGTGTGGTACTTGTCTTCAACGGTGGTTCGACCCCACGCACCACCAAGCGCCTCCACAATGAGCTGAACTCCTTTCTCACTGCGCAGCTGCTCCGGATCAATGCGACTTATCTTTTGAAAGGCTGACCCTTCCACCTGCAATGCAGCACGTGGCCCCAACTGAGCCACATGTTCGGGAGGCCATAGCGCCTTCAAGAACTGCAGTCGCCTTCCATAATCATCCACATTGGTGCTCCCCGGCACGAAACGCGGAACCTGTTGCCAGGGTAAATGGCTCAGGCTAACACCTGCCATCCCCCCGGTCGGTGCTGAAGCATCAGCTGGGCCGGTGCCCGACATGGCACACGTCACGGATCAGGGCTACCTATGCCTAAGCAACCCGTTTCCACAGTTCCCTAAACTATGACGGGCCAGGGCTCCGCTACCAATGTGAATATGGTAGCCCTGGCCGTCCCTAGTAACCTTAAGAGACCCTAAGAATGAAGGAACCCTGTTCCTACTATGACCCTAAAGAGCCCTGCTCTCCTGCCTTTGGCTCCCAAGCTCTCTTCCTCGTCCCGCCCTCCCCCGAGCTGCACAAGAAGGGTCGGCGAGCACAAGTGACAGGTTGCCTCGGCACATCTAGCGGATTAACAACCCTAAACCCTAAACCCCAAACCCTAAACCTTAAAGCCTAAGCCCCAAGCCCTAAACACGAGGTTGCACTTTGGGGTCGAGAGCTGGAGACTACGCGGTCGGAGCGAATCGCCTAAGATAGGGAACCCTTGAACCCAACACACTTTGGGCATAAGGTTTTGGGGTTGAAGGCTTTAGCTGGAGTTTAGGGTTTCAGGTTTAGGGAGTCAGGGATTCAGGTTTTAGAGATTCAGGTGCTTCACTTTAGGGTTTTAGGCTCAGCGTTTTGGGGGTTTCGCTCCCTAAAACTGACGAGGGGCCGCGTGGGTCAGGGTGAGGTGAGGGCAAAGCTCCGCACCAGCTCCTTTGTCGCATGTGAGTCGTTGCTCTAAATCTTGGTCGCTTTTCACTGCGGATACCCTTGAAGAGTATATTTTTCTCCCGTATTCTTACTCAGCCAATATCTGAATGGAGCGTGGGGACCTGCTTTGCACATGTCGCACATTGGGTTTTTGGGTTTCTTTGTTTAGTCGAAATCACAAGGTTGACCCTTTTTTCCCCCTTGGTTGTTAGAGAAGAAAGTATTTGATACCCTAAACCCTAACCCCTAAACCCTAAACCCTAAACCCTAAACGGCCAGAACCATAGTTGCACAGTAACCCAAGAAGGCGGCCATACTTCAGGGATCCGACCACATCTGCGTATCAGCTCGTGTTTAATGTGCCTTGGAGGTCCAGGCGCGAAGCTCTCGGAGCCTGCCCTCCCTTTAAACCCCTAAACCCTGTAAAGCCCTACATCCGAATTCCTAAAAGCCCTAAAGTCTGAACGTCCTGAAACCCTGAAAACCTACACCCTTCAAAAGCCCCAGGCCCAAAAAACAACTGAGCCCTAAAGAAACCCTAAACCCCATGAAGCCCTATAAAACCCTAGCCCTGAACCCTAAGCCCTAAACCCTAACCGCAAAACCCTAAACCCTAAACCCTAAACCCTGAACCCTAGACTCTGTCCATGTCCCGAGGTCGACGGGGTTGCATAGGGTTTAGGGTTTAGGGTTTAGGGTTTAGGGTTTAGGGTTTAGGGTTTAGGGTTTAGGGTTTAGGGTTCCTAAAGCCCTCGTCCTAAACCCTATTCCTTCAAGCTTGAAGCCTCAACTCTAAACTCGAAACCCCAAAGCCTAATTCAACCCGAAGCCCTAAACCCGAATTAAACCCGAAGCCCTAGACCCGAATTAAACCCTGAACTCTGAACCCTAAACCCTGGCCCTAAATCCTAAACCCTAGCCCTAAACCCCAAACCCTAAACCCTAAACCCAAACCCAAATGCCTCACCTCCAAACCTTCAGTCAGAGCTGCCGGGCGCCAGCCCTGATCTCTGACTTTTGCTCCTTACACACCAATTTAGGGTTTAGGGTTTGGGGTTTAGGGTTTAGGGTGAGAAGGCAAACACCCCCTAAGAACTAAGCCATGTCTCAACCCATATTCAAAGACTCCCCCCTGGTTCTTGGTAGGGAATGCAGGAATTAGGCCCCTGTATATATATATATATATACATATACCGTTTAAGGGATCATAAAGGGGGGGGGTACCCCTATTTTGGGAAATACCCCTACTCAAAGACGCACCACGGAGGTGCACCAGCCTTGTTCCATGCCAGTGTTCCACAAAAGTGGCTTCTGGCACTCAGATTGGGCGGCCATGGGCTCTTCCATCCCCTTAGCAAAGCCCGAAACCCTAAGCCCTAAACCCTACAGCCCTAAACCCTAAGCCCTAAACCCTAAAACCTAAACCCTCCTCAGGAAGCCTTCTAAAATGGGGGATGGCAAAGAACCCTGCCTGCCCCAGCTCAAGAGTTCACGCTTCTCCCCTCCCCCAACGACCGCTTCAACAGAGAACCTTAAACAAACACTTGAATACAGGGTTCAGGGTTTAGGGTTTAGGGATTCGGGTTTAGGGATCCGGGTTGAGGGTTTAGGGTTCAGGGTTTAGGCTTCAAGAGCCTAGAGCTCTGCTGAGCTTTCGTGTTACATGGCAACCTTGAACTCTATACCTGAAACCCGAAACCCTAAACCCTAACCCCTAAACAAACGGGTCCCCTATAGAACCCTTACGGCACGAAAGGTATTCGCTCTACACCAGCTTATTGAGGACTTGAGGGTTTGGTGCGGAACATCCACCCAAAACCCTCGCCTCAAGCCCCGAAGCGGGTAGGTTTCAAGCAGGGATGCAAAAGGACTAGCGTCATAAACGCAGCGCTTCTTCGCCATCCCTGTTCTGAACAGGGTTTAGGGTTTAGGGCTTAGGGTGTAGGGTTTAGGGGCGAAGTCAATCAGGGGCTCACAGTCGGTCATTTCTCCAAGCGCCTGCATCTGGCATTCCTACCGCCCAAGGGTTACGTAGGCCCTGAACCCTGAACCCTTCAGGGTTTAGGGTTTAGAGTTACCCTAGTCCCTAAATTCTCTAAAGCTTATAAGGTGGAAGTGAGAAGCGAAATCAGGCACGAAGAGCCTTCACGGGCGCAGCCCAGAAGATGTTGCTCTGGAGAGCACGCGTAGAGAAAGCAAAGCCCTCAAAGCAGACGTTCAGTTTGCAGGCTCAGGGTGTTAGGAACCCTCAACCCTGACTAGGGCCTAAGGGACTGAGCCCCTGTAGCTTCGTGAAGCTAAGCCCTAAACCCTAAACCCTAAACCCTAAACCCTAAACCCTAAACCCTCAGCCCTCAGCCCTAAACCCTAAACCCTAAACCTTAAACCCTAAACCCTAAACCCTAAACCCTAAATGCCATGCCAGAGCTGTTTGGACGCTGTGGCCCTGACAAGGCCCGAAGACGCGGGAGTCGATCCGTACCCCGCTTCTTCCATCCACCCTGCGAACTTTCACGATTCAACCAAGGCTTTTAGGGTTTAGGGTTTAGGGTTTAGGGTTTAGGGTTTAGGGTTTAGGGTTTAGGGCTAGGGTTGAGGGTACCCTAAGCCCCGGAGTCTTGAGTTTTGGGGTCTTGGGGAGTTGTTGGAAGCCCGGGGTGTAGGGTTTTGTGTTTTGTGGGTCTAGGAGGTTTTTTTTTTCGGGGGGAACCTAAACCCTAAACCCTAAACCCTAAACCCTAAACCCTAAACCCTAAACCCTAAACCCTAAACCCTAAACCCTAAACCCTAAACCCGAAGGATTAGGGTTTTAAGTACCAGCGTTGAAGGGCTTTAGGGCTTTCCGGGCCTTAGGTCTTTCCACGTGAACGTTTGCCGCACAAAAGCGTGGGCACTGAGTCCATTCCACCTGTGAATGGCCGGTGCTTTGTTTCGCGTTGCTGTCGCAGCCCGCGCGCGTCCGTGCCAAGGCTGCGACAGTGTATAGGTTATACTCCCAAGCGGAGGGGTGGGGGGGGCGAAGGTGGGGATATCAACTAGCTGAAAGCTCCCCCGTATAAGTGTGTAAGCCTATAGTTCGTGTATGTAGTAAGGCCCCCCCTTTAGTAGGGTTTAGGGTTTAGGGTTTAGGGTTTAGGGTTTAGGGTTTAGGGTTTAGGGTTTAGGGTTTAGGGTTTAGGGTTTAGGGTTTAGGGTTTAGGGTTTAGGGTTTAGGGTTTAGGGTTCAGGCTCGGGCAAGAAAGGGATGCTCAAGGCGGAGGCATGCCATGGATTCTGCTCACGCAGTGACAAAAAGCTCAGTGTTTACTGCAAACCCCAGAAAGTTTAGCGTTTAGGGTTTAGGGTTTAGGGTTTAGGGTTTAGGGTTTAGGGTTTAGGGTTCCCAGATCTACAATCATCCTTATAAACCATGTTCCAACTTTCGGGAGTTTACTGTAGGGTTAAACCCTACACCCTACACCCTACACCCTAAACCCTAAAGCCTAAACCCTAAACCCTAAAGCCTAAACCCTGTGCAGTTCACGAGGTCGGATTTCGATTTCAGGGTCTTGGATGTAGGAGGGCTTGGGGCTTCAGAGTAGAGGAGGGAAGTGTCCGACGCGCACGTTTGCCCAACCTTAAACTGAACTCTTAAGCCCTATAGACCCCAGATCCTAAACCCTAAACCCTAAACCCTAAACCCTAAACCCTAAACCCTAAACCCTAAACCCTGAACAAAACCTCCAGGAGTATTGCTGTTCCTGGGGCTGTTGGGGGGGGGGGTGGGTGGGTGGGTGGGGAGGGTGCTAGGGAAGACCCTAAACTGAATTGACTCAGGCCTGCGCCAAGATGATAGGGCAACCCAAGCTTGAGGGCTTTAGAGGGTTGGGGGGCTTTTAGGGCTTTTAGGGTTTAGGGTTTAGGAATTAGGGTTTAGGGTTTAGGGTTTAGGGGAACCCTTGAGCCGAAAAAGCTCAACAGGATGCAAACTTCGACTACTGGACGATCATCAACATGTCGGCCCGGTCCTGAGGGTGTTTCAGGTGATTTCAGGCCTGGGAATAGGGTTTAGGGTTTAGGGTTTGGGGTTTAGGGTTTAGGGTTCAGGGTTTCGGGTTTAGGGCTTAGGGTTTAGGGTTTAGGGTTTAGGACTCAAAGGTTTCGTTCAGGTTTCGCGCGCATTCGCGTGCGAGCGCAAGCAAGCAAGCGCGAGGAGACGCCGCGAGAAGGACCACGAATACTGGTATCCCTTGACCCGGAACCCCAAGTCCCAAACAACCCAAAGCAACGAGCCCGAAACCCTAAACTCTAAACCCTAATTAGTGAGGAATGAGGACGTAAGGTTTTTACGGAGTGGTCGCTTGGCGAGCGTCGTTTTGACGATACCACTCGTCATAAAGAGAGTTGTTCCCCATGCTTTTTAGGGTTTTAGGGTTCAGGGTTTGGGCCCGCTTCTTTTAGGGTTTAGAGTTTAGGGTTTGGGGTTTAGGGTTTAGAGTTTAGGGTTTGGGGTTTAGGGTGACCCTCCGACTCCAAGGACTCTTATTCCGAGGTTTTCGGGACCACAGGCCTTTTTGTATGTTTTGTTTGGCCATTTTGAGCTTAAGGGCGATCGTAGTCATAAAGAATCTGGGACCCGAAGTAGGCCCTTATTCCTTTGTTTTCAGAGTTTAGATTCCCCTATATAAACCCCTTTAAAACCAAAAAGGGCACTCTTTTTATTCCTAGCTTACTCTTGTGCCTAGGAGAATCGAAGAAAGCAAGAACGTAGATTAAGGACGCAAGTCCCGAATCCCCACATCCCTACAGGCCCCACAGCCACTTCTTGAAGGTTCTTGATACTCAGCAACCCAATCAAGCTGTACTCGTAGCCCAATCAGAACCCTGTTAGGGCGCTTAAGGGGGCTTAGAAGTGGGTTATAATCGCATTGATAATTGGGCTACTAAATACCCTGAACCCCTAAAACCTAAACCCTTACAATTGGGTTACTAAGTACCCTCCAAGTATGCAGGTATCGGAGCTGACCAACATGGCGGACAGCAAGGATTGGGGCAAGGCCATCGACAAGTACATGAAGCGCGGCCCCTAGCGGGGTTTAAAGTTGAGGGTTCTTAAAGTTTCGGGATTTGGTGAAGGTGTTCGGGTTTCAGGGTTGCAGCGTTTAGGCTTTGTGATTTTGGGTTTCGGGAGTTGGTGAAGGTTTTAGGGTTTCAGGGAAACCCTAAACGTTAAACCCTAAAACCATCTAAAACTTAAACCCTAAACCCTAAACCCTTAGGGTTTAAAGACTTCGACTCCCAACCTTAAACCCCAGGCCCGACTGCTCGAAATCTGCATAGGGCTGGTGGCCCATCGGTGGCCGGTTGACCGAAAGCGTGGAACGGTTTTATACATTATATATATATATATATTTAGGGATCAGCTCCTGCAACACCTTTTCGCATGTCAACTACCCTAAGAGAATCCCTAATCCCTAAACCCTAAACCCTTAGCCCCCTTAAAGGACCGTGTAACTAGCCCAAGAGTTAGGGCTTCGTAAGCCCTAAACCCCCCGACCCCAGGGTGCAGGCTTGCATCTCAAGAAGCAAGCCTGTTTAGGGTTTAGGGTTTAGGGTTTAGGGCTGACCCCATGAAACCTCTAAACCAGGCGTGTGCCGAATTTGGAGCTGGGCGCCAAGATCCAGCCAATCACGTCCACCATCATGAGGCGCGCTTCTCATAGGAATCATAAATTATACGGCTATTATCCATAAATGCAAAGTTACTTTTTTTATCGCATAAATTATCCCCAAATGCATAATTTTCTATATTTTTAGTCAAAATGTACTAGTAACTTTTTCTCTTTTCATACTATCATAACAAACAAAACTTAACTGTAAACCCAATGAACCCTATAATCCCCAAAAGCCCCATAAACCCTATGAAGCCAACAAAAACCTATGGACCCCATGAACCCTGTAAGCTGTATTAAGGAGCACGAGAAACTGCATAGGCAACCCCTGAACCCTAAACCCCAATGCCGAACCCTAAGCCCTAAACCCTAAACCCTAAACCCTAAACCCTAAACCCTAAACCTCAGCTGCAGGATCACGCTGACCATCAAGCCCAACTTCGACTGGAGCGATCGTTGGTCCGGGCGCGGCCGCCCGTGGTTTTGGGGTTCTGAGGGTTTGGGGTGTAGGGTTTAGGGTTTAGGGTTCAGGGTTTAGGGTTTAGGGTTTAGGGTTTAGGGTTTAGGGCTGCAACAGGGTTTCTTTGGGGCTCTAAATTTGACTTTGTCAGTAGGGTTAGCGAGGTGGGTTTTGGGATCATGGGGTTTCTCGAGATACTCAGCAGACTTGCTAAGTCGAAAGAGATTCCAAGGAGGGTTTCTTGAGTTTTTTGTTGGGGTGTTCAGGGTTTAGACTCAACACATGGCTTTGCTGGTATAAACCGAAACCGTAGAAGCCCTAAACCCGCCGTGGTTCTAATTGGGTTAAC